AATCAATTACAATACTAAGTGACGAAAGTCAGACAGATAAAGAAATATATGATATCACTTATGCGTGGAATCTTAAAAAATAACACAGATGAACTTATTTACAAAACAAACAGATTCACAGACTTAAAAGAAATTTATAATTACCAAAGGGGAAACAAGGAGTGGGGAGGGACAAATTAGGAGGTTGTGATTAAAGCAGATAAACAACAAAGACCTACTTTATAGCACAAGGAACTCTACTCAATATTCTCTGTGTGTGTGTGTGTGTGTGTGTGTCTGTGTGTGTGTGAGTTACTCAGTCATGTCTGACTCTTCGTGACCCCATGGACTGTAGTTTGCCAGCCTCCTCTGTCTATGGAATTCTCCAGGCCAGAATACTGGAGTGGGTAGCTATTTCCTTCTCCAGGGGATCTTCCCAACCCAGGGAGAGAACCCAAGTGTCCTGCATTGCAGGTAAATTCTTTTGTCTGAGCTACCAAGGAAGCCCACTCAATATTCTATAATAACCTATATGGGAAAAGAATCTGAAGAAGAATGAATATATGTATAACTGAATCACTTTGTCGTACATATGAAACTAACACAACATTGAAAATCACCTTCTCCAATAAAATTTTAAAAAGAAGCATGTGTTTTCCAAGATTAAGACTAACATGTGTCTTGAAGGTAGTTGGCTTCCCGTGAACCGCCCAGAAGTACTTAACTCTCCACTCAGTGTCACAGGCCTTAGCTCATGTCTCTGCTGCTGCTGCTGCGGCTGAGTCGCTTCAGTTGTGTCCGACTCTGTGCAGCCCCATAGACAGCAGCCCACCAGGCTCCCCTGTTGCTGGGATTCTCCAGGCAAGAACACTGGAGTGGGTTGCCACTTCCTTCTCCAATGCATGAGAGTGAAAAGTGAAAGCGAAGTCGCTCAGTCGTGTCCGACTCTGCGCGACCCCGTAGGCCGCAGCCCACCAGGCTCCGCCGTCCCTGGGATTCTCCAGGCAAGAACACTGGAGTGGGTTGCCATTTCCTTCTCCAATGCATGAGAGTGAAAAGTGAAAGTGAAGTCGCTCAGTCGTGTCAGACTCTTTGCGACCCCATGGACTGCAGCCCACCAGGCTCCTCCGTCCTTGGGATTTTCCAGGCAAGAGTACTGGAGTTGGGTGCCACTGGCCACTGCCTTCTCTGGATCATGTCTATGACATGTTTCCAAAGGAATAAAAAACAAAACACTTAGAATTACAATGTAAATGCAAAAGACACATCTCCCCATTCTGCAGCTGGGTTGCTTCTGATGACAACTGATATTCAAACCTGGTTCCCTGAAAAACACAGCCAAGTCTTTTTCAGTGTTTTCCTGTTAATAAAATCTGGATCTAAGAAGAAACTGGAGAAGTCTTTTAAAGGTCTATTGATGGGGTAGAGGTGAGTGGAGGAAGCAGTGGTGGGTATGACTGTGGTCTGCTCTGAGTGCAGCTTGCAAGGTGGTCCTTAAAGAGAACTAGAAACCAGGGATTGGGTGGACTGCTATCCAAAGGGGTCCTGCTTTCCAGTAGCATCCTGGACTGACAACTCTAAATGCTGTCAGTGTGAGGACTCCTCTCTGAAAGCTATTTTATTGGTGTATATTCTAAATAATGGGTGTAGTTACTGATGAGATCTAGTATTTATTAAATTAGCAAACCATCTGCTCCATCTGTCGGACTCTCTATTGTGCAGCCATCCCCAGAAACACAGAAATGTTACTACAAGCTTTAAGTTTCACTAGTCATTTCAGAGTAGTTCAAAATCCTCTGAGCTCACAAAGGCTGCGATTCATGCGCCTGGAGAAGGACCTTTTTTTAATGCAAACAACAGATCGTAAATGGACAAGGAGAGCAATGTGGTCGTAAAGATGGACGGACCGAGAAGTTGTCACAGAGTGAAAAAGAGGAAAAAGCAAACAGTATATTAAGGCATATACGCGGCGTCCGGAAAGGCGGCACTGACGGCCCGTCTGCAGGGCAGGAGCGGTGCAGACGGAGAGCGGACGTGCGCAGGGGAAGGCGGGAGGAGGCTGAGCGGGAGGCCGGGGCTCACACACACCTGCGTGTCCCGCAGCCCGTGGGAGGCCGTGGCACGGCAGAGGAGCGCAGCTCAGAGCTCCGCGACGCCCCGCGGGGGTGGGGCCCGGCGGGCGTGGGGAGAGGCCAGAGCGCGCGGACGCGGGCCTGCAGGCGGCTGATTCACCTTGCAGTGCCGCCGAGAGGGACACGGCGCGGTACAGCCACCGTGCCCGGACCTGAGCACGCTCGGCTCCGCTATTCTGCGCGGCCCCGGCAGGCCCGGCCTGTGAGGGACGGGCCCGGCCGTCTGTCGGTGCAGGGGAGCTCCGCTGGCCCTCGGCGGCGGCCTGTCGTGGGGGCCTTCGCGTCCCTGTCTCCTCCCACCCCGGGAACGCCCTGAAGCCCACGGGCCCTCAAACCCCTGTCTCCACACCTGCTTCCGAAGGTCCGCAAACGGGAGCCCAGCTCAAGGATCTTAAGGTGAGTCCGCCGAGGACCACTCCCACCCCGGGCAGGACGGGGGTGAATGCCGGGCCTCACCCTCCACAGTCCCCCGCGGGTTTCCGCTCGGCGTAACCCACGGGAAGATGTCTGATGCGGAGAGAAAAACACCTCAGAGGGGCTGAAACCTCGGGGGAGACATGCCCAGAAAGGGGCTCAGGTCAGGGTGACATTCCATCACCTCCTAAGCATCCAGGTGAGGTGCGTTAGGTTAGTTCTCAGCTCTGCCTGCAAAACACTTCACAACATTTTTGCTTTTTTTTTCTTTTCCCAAACACTATAGCTTCCCAGGCCCTGCCTATATAATAAATCAAAATCCATGGATGTAGGAAATGTAGGAAATATATTTAGGATATATAGTAGGATATATATGCAGGATATATGGACCTTCCAAGTGGTTAAGTGGAAAAGAATCACATGTTCAGTCTCTGAATCAGGAAGATCCCCTGGAGGAGGGCATGGCAACCCACTCCAGTGTTCCTGCTTAGAGAACTGCATGAACAAAGCAGCCTGGTGAGCTCCAATCCACAGGGTTGCCGAGAGTCAAGACATGGCTGGGTGACTAAAAAGCAGCAGCAGCAGGATATATAATAAATCAGAATCCCTGGATGTATATATATTAGGAAATATATTTAAATGGAAATATATTTAAATAAGGATAAATGCATATATATTTACATATACCTAAATGAATATAAATTTATATATATATAAATATATGGATGTACTTTTATATCCATACAAAATATATGAATATATATTTATACATATAAAATATATACATATTTAAGGCTCCAAATGCAATTCTGACACACAAACCATAGATGACCATAGAACTGGAATATGGAAAATGTTGACCTGATGTGATAAAAACAAATAAGTCATTCCTTCTTTGCTCTTAATCAGATAGCTCTGATCAGAATTCCAGAAGGACATCCAAATTCTTAATAAATTAACTGCAGTCTCCAAGGGTATGGTTTATCTGTCAAAATGGGCCTCCGCTCAAAATGAATGTTTCTCTGTCATGATGGGGAATGACCAAGAATGCTTGAGCACTGAATGGACATCCAGTGATGTCCACTCTCTCCCATGAGCATGCACCCAGGAAGCGTGTCTTTGCAGGAGGAAGGGGGGAAATCTGAAGGTCTGGACTCCGACGTGGGGCCAGATGCTATTCTGTGTGTCCCAGTCCCTGCCCTCCTGAGCTCTCCCTGCCTACGGTTCCCATTGCCTGCAGAAGGGGCATGTGTGTGCGGAAGGAATTGCCCCCACTTGCAGTTACACCCTTAGAGGCTTGAAGTCAATACTGGAATGGCACTTGGGCAGCAGTGACTGGTCAATGACTCCACCCGTGCACAGCTGCACTGTTAACTCAGGGTATGATTCACAAATGATTCTTTTCCTATCATAACGGCTGACAGAGACCTGGCAATGAACCCAGTCTTTGAGAGAAAAGCTGATCTTGGGCCAAAGGGCTGGCTAAAATCTCAGGCAGGACATAAATAAATAAACAAAAAGTAAGTAAAATCTTTATACAAGTCAATATAAATATATTCTCTCTCTCTCCATATATATTATATATATATAGATAGATATCTAGTTAGATAGGCTTATATATAGATATATAACATCTTTAAACACATATAGATAGATAGATAGATAGATAGATATAGAAAAAGCAAGTAGATGGAATCAAAAAAAGAGCAAGTAGATGGAATCAAAATATATCCAGAGAGCATTCCATACTGGCTTATCAGTATTTTCAGTTCTGCTATATTAAAGGTTGCTGTTTAAGTTAGAGAGACCTGGGTTTAAATAACGGCTCTTCACCTGACCAATCATGCGTCTTCTCCTGGCATCAATCAAAGCGGGGGAATGGTATCTTTAGGTTGTCAGAAAGAATAAGTAAAATCTTTCACCTGGATATCTTACCTCAAGATAAGGTAAGATGTCTTATCTTGCTTCTGTCTATAGGAAGCATTTTCTTAAGTTTAATCGTCCAGTTCAAATAAATTTAGCCCAAACAACATTATTTACCATAAAAACTATAATAACAAGGTTTGAACCAAAATCGCATGGAGTTATGCAACCCAATTTTGCAACTCTATTATTGGTGCAACTTTAGAAAACTTCATTTAGAAGCAAATGCATGGAAATAACACAGCAATCTAGAAATCATATAAACACAAAGCTGATGCTTCAGAATTATATTTTACTGTCTCTCCTCATGTTTACAAAACACACACACACATCCACACACACAGAGCACGGCATGTGAGCCCTGGAAACCCTTCGCTGCCTTCATGCCAATGACACTTTGCTTGTCATTTTTACTTTTAATGGTTAATGAGTTCCACGTAATAATTGCCAGTTTTCTGCCACCCCTCTGTCCCCTGCTGCAGAAGAGCTCATCTACGCAGAGCAGCGTGATTGCAGAGCTGTTGGGACAGAGGCGGAACGGCGGCATCTCACCACTGTTGTGGGCCTCCAGCTGGGAGGCGGAGTTGACAGCGACCCTGCAGAGCGAGCAGTAGAGCAGCCTCTTGGCCTTTTCCTCCTCGGTCTCCGCGGGGGGCCGGGGGCCGTCGCCGCTGGCCGGGGTGGGGCTCCTCTCCACTTTGGAGGTGATCTCAGTTGTCATGACACTGCTCTTGCGGATTTCCACAGTTGTCGTCGTTGATATTGCTGGTGTCCCTGTGGTACTGTCTGCAGTCACAAAAGCACAGGAGAAAGGCAAAGACAGTGGCATTATCTCTCCTATTTGAAAATGCATCCCTGATATTGCATCCTGGTAATAATGAGAAGGGCAACTAGCCCTGACCCCCTGTCAGCCACGTGGCAATCATCTCCTGAGGAAATGACAAAGATGCACACTTACAGATGTGTCTACTGATAGAACACATTTGGACAGTTCTTGGAAACACATACAAATAGGCTTTAACGTGCTTCCTTGAGGTAAATAAACATTCTCAAACTTCTCCTGTTAGCATGTGGCCTTACTAAAATACTTCATAGTGCACTGTGCTTTGTATATGTCTGCTAGGATGGCTTTAAAAGATATAATGGAGAGTAAATGCTTCTAAGGTATTTTCATTTCTCTTTACTACTTGTCTTTCTATTTTCCTCTACATTTCTGTCTTTAATTTAAAACAAAATAGGTAAAATAGGGCTTCCCGGGTAGTCCTGTGGTTAAGAACCACCTTGCAATGCAGGGGATGCTGGTGCGATCCCTGGTCTAGGAAGATCCCACATGCGTGGGGCACCCGAGCCTGCTGAGCGCCATGACTGCTGAGCCCACATCCTGCAACGACTGAGTCGTCTGTACACCCTAAGGCCATGCTCCAGAACAAGAGACGCCACCGCAGTGAGAAGAACACAGACTGCAACTAGAGAGATGCCCCCGATCCCCGTAACCGGAGAAAGCCCGTGTGCAGCGACGAAGACCCAGAGCAGTCAAAAACAAATAAAATGAAATAAAATCAGGGTCAAGACCCTTTAGAAAAATTGGTTGTGATCCTGTGCGTGCTTGTGCAAAATATATGGTAAATAAAGAACCCTGATGTCACACTGCTTTGTCAAGATCAAAGGTTTATAAAATCCTTACCTTACTTACAAAGAGCTGTATGTTCAACAAATACAAAAAGTCATCCATATACAAATAAGACTAATTCTAACCTGGCATATTCATTAAGCATGTGACCTGCGCCAGGACAAGTTCAGGGAGTGTGTGACACAAAAGTATGCAAACGCCAATGACTACTCTCCATACGGAATTCACGGACTGGTCACACCATGTTAATGTCACAGCTTTCAAGAGTGTGATGACCAGGAAGGTGTTGATGCACTGTAACCGTACAACCCTTCTGGCTCTGAACTCTGATTCTAAATCTGGAGAGGTCAACCCCCAAACTGAGCCCACCTTGTCTTAGATTCACTTGGGTAGACACAGCTCCCAACCCAAATAGGCTAGTTAACATGGTGTTAGCAATGTCTGCCAAGTCCGTCATGAATTGCAGATGAGCTCCATGCCCTGTGCTTTCTATTTTTATATCCCTTTTCACTGCCTCCCGGCTGGCTAGCTCTTAACCTCCTACTCAAAATATTCCCAGGCAGCCTTTCCAGCCACAGCTGCACTTGGAATTGTTTCTCCTCCCACAGGTTGCCATGCTCACTATCCAATGCCGCTCTAAAACGTCCACGGTAAACGGAGTGGGCAGTGGCTACAAAGGACAGCGGTCTACCTGCAGTGAACGGCTGTCCTCATAAAAATGTAGTTCTTGTTCATTTCTGTTACCAACAAGCCTTTGAACTTGGATTTTCACTTTGATCTGGAGACAGAGGTGGGAATATGGGTAAAGGTGGTTATGGCTTCTTTCCCAAATATGGCCAGAAACACTAGTCAGTCAGAAGAGAGATGGGTCCTTGCTGTTTGTTTTTAATTAATTAATTTTTACTAAAATTTTTGAACTGTAGTTGATTTACAAAGTTTCAGGTGTACACAAAGTGATTCTGCAATATACATATATATATATATATATATCTATATATATAGCTATTATATATCTATATATGTGTGTGTGTGTATATATATATATATACTATATATGTGCATATGTGAATATATTCTTTTCTGGATTCTTTCCCACTATAGAGGATGCTGAGGGATATTGGATAGAACAATTTATCTGGAGCTTCCCTTTGCCTGACCCTTCATATATTTTTAACCACTTATTCAGCCATAAGTCCATTAAGGTCCCCTGCAATATCATGGAGAACATCTTATAACTATGTTAGAAAAAATAGTCATAGTGTCATCACCAGGTTTTCTCATGACAAGAGAAAAATAAATAAAAATAACTATCACCAATTTTTGCCACAAGAATGCATTACCTTGAACACTGAAAGGTCCACCTCCTGACTAGCTTTTACTCATTTTCTAAGGTACCAAAATTAAAATATCGGGTAATACCAGAAAATTTCAAATCCTAAAAGATGACACTGTTAAAGTGCTGCACTCAATATGCCAGCAAATTTAGAAAATTCAGCAGTGGCCACAGGACTGGAAAAGGCCAGTTTTCATTCCAATCACAAAGAAAGGAAATGCCAAAGTACATTCAAACTACCACACAATTGCACTCATCTCACAAACTAGCAAAGTAATGCTCAAAATTCTTCAAGCTAGACTTCAACAGTACATGAACCAAGATCTTCCAGATGTTCAAGCTGGATTTAGAAAAGGCAGAGGATCCAGAAATCAAATTGCCAACATCCATTATATCATAGAAAAAGAGAATTTCAGAAAAAATCTACTTTTGCTTCATTGACTATGCTAAAGCTTTTTACTGTGTGGATCACAAATTGTGGAAAATTCTTAAAGAGACGGGAATACAAGACCACCTTACCTGCCTCCTGAGAAACCCGTATGCAGGTCAAGAAGCAACAGTTAGAACTGGACATGGAACAACAGACTGGTTCCAAATCAGGAAAGGAGTACATCAAGGCAGTATATTGTCACCCTGCTTATTTAACTTATATGCAGAGTGCATCATACAAAATGCCAGGTTGGATGAAGCGCAAGCTGGAATCAAGNTGGTGAAGGACAGGGAAGCCTGGCACGCTGCAGTCCACGAGGTCGCAAAGAGTCGGACACGGCTGAGCGACTGAACACTTCATGGGGTTCTCAAGGCAGAAATGCTGATATGCTTTGCCGTTCCCTTCTCTAGTGGACCATGTTTTGTCAGAACTCTCCACCGTGACACTCCTGTCTTGGGTGGCCCTACATGGCACAGCATTATCCCCAGAGGATAAAGTACATTTATACCAAGAATGTCAAAGGTCAGAGACTCCAGACTGTCTATGGCTCAGGCTTCGTACAACATTGATGCTTCTTAAGGGAAGTCCCTTGCATGAGACAGGCTCAGGGAAATCAGAACCAAAACACTGAATTTCTGGTACTGATTCACTGGTGGCTCACATGGTAAAGATCTGCCTGCAACACAAGAGAGCTGAGTGTGATGCCTGGGTTGGGAGGATCCCCTGGAGAAGGAAACGGCAACTACTCCAGTATCCTTGCCAGGAGAATTCCACGCACAAAGGAGGCATGCAGTCCACTAGGTGGCAAAGTGTCGGACTCAACTGAACGACTAACTTTCACTCAACCTTGTTACATTTTTTAGGCTACATATCTGGACAAAGATCTGTTATTAATATTAATATTTTCTCAAGGTTAAGGTTAGTTTGAGAGAAATACAGTTATGTTTTTCACTTTAAACTTAATATATAGATGTTGAGTCCATAAAGGTAAGAGTATTATTAATATATAATGAGATATGAATTTTTCAGTTACTTTTAATTTACCAGTAGTAAAGAGGACTTTTTTTAAAACAAGTAAGGTAAATAAATTTTAAGATTAAGCCATAAAGGAATCAACTATTTTATTTAGATGGCCCTTGGTTTCTGCATCCATTTTAAAATATTTTTAAAAAAAATTCCAGAAACTTCCAGAAAACAAAATTTTGCTGTGGGAAGGCAATTATTTACATACCATTTACATTGTATTTGCAACTATTTACATAATGTTTCGTAGTTTTAGGTGTTAGAAGTGATTGGAGATGATTTAAAGTAAATGGGAGGGGGTGTATAGGTCAGGTGCAACTGCCACATCGTTTTATACAAGCACTTGAGCATCCACAGATGTTGGTATCTACAGGGGTTTTGGAACCAGTTCCCCATGGATATCAATGGATGACTGTACATTGCATAGAAAGTGACATATAGCAAAGCTATTTTCTTTAGTATGGAACATTAAATTACCAATTATGCATAATACCTATCCACTCATTAAAATAAAATTTTATATCATCAATCATGTTAATAACATACACTCTTGCTAGGATGTGATGAGACATACCCCTGTGATCTTCTTCCCAAAACTCATAACCCCTGTCTAACCATGAGAAAAGCATAAACAAACCTAAATTCAATGACATTCTACATGATCTTTAATCAAGGGTCCTCAAAAATGTCTAGGTCACCAAAACGAGAAAAGTCTGACAAACTGTCATAGTCCAGACAAGTCTAAGGACTCAGGATGTCTAAATATAATCTGGTGTCCCGATTGGAATCCTGGGGCAAAAAGAAAAAAGGAACATTAGGTAAAAATTTAGGAAATTCAAAGAAGAATGGAATCTTGTATAAACAGTGTATAAGTTCTGGTTCTCTAGCTTTGACAAATGCACCACAATAATGTGAGATGCTAATAACAAGGAAAACTTAAGAGCATATACTGGAACCCTCTGTAGTATCCTTGTACCTCTTGTAGATTTAAAGCTAGTCTAAAATTGAAAGTTTATTGAAAAATTGAACTAGAACCAGTCACCACACAGTGCATCATTCAGTTGCTTTGCAGAATAGCAATGATTTGAACTCAGCCTGGCTCAGAAGCACATGTTCTTTTTTGATAAAATTTTGAATTTTTTTTCAGAAAAGAACTGATCACATCCCTTCAGTTTATTCCAATTGGTCATGATTTATTAGGATTGTTGGAAGACAGCATTTTAAAAATTTGACTTCAAAAGAAACAAAACATGGCCTGAGCTAGAGTCAATCATTTATGTCTAATCCTCTGTTCAGGCTAACATATTAAGTTGTTAGAGTCCATTTAGGAGGAGGGGAGAGAAGAAAAACCTACAGTTTTCAAACGATCTCTTCTGCAAAGTGATGAGTAACCCACAGGCTCTCCTTATTGAAAATTTTTCCTTTTCTTTTTTCCCCAAAAGATGTGAAAACAGAATAATGATTCACTTTTCTTAATATTTCCCAGGGGCTGATTCAGATTTCTTTCCACTGTTGTACCAATGATCCTCTAGGAACGTTATATGTGACAGGGAGTCAAAAGTAATGGGTGTTTTGGTGGGAAGGCAAGGTTTGAGATGGAACGGGTTTGCATTTCTGTGCTGTTTCTCTGCCAGCGCCCTGAAGCAAATATTCATTATTGTAACTGTCACTGTTTGGCTTTGGCACCAAAACATGTTGCTAGTACTTCGTGGAACGGTGCTCTAGTGGAGGATGAAGGAAAACGTGTCAGTATTCAGAGTGGCCCATTTTGGCCCTCGTTCTTGTATAAAAACCCTGGAAATACCTTTTAAAATATTTCATAAGGCATAAGAAAAGATTCCAGAAAATAATAAATTGAATTCTAGATAATAAAATAGAGCGGCCAACTTACATGGTCTGGGTACGAAAACTATTTTCCTAGTTACAGATCTCATGATCCAATTGAGAGGACCAGAGGCAAGTTACGGAAATTCCTTCCAGGTAACAGAGGTGAACGCATGCTCAGTCGCTCAGTCGTGTCTGACTATTTGCGACCCCGTGGACTGCAGCCCACCAGGCTCCTCCATCCATGGGACTCTCCAGGCAAGAACACTGGAGTGGGTTGCCATTTCCTCCTCCAGGGAAAATTGTCGACCCAGGGATCAAAGGCGTATCTCCCGTGTTGGCAAGCAGACTCTTTACCACTGAGACCCCTGGGAAGCCCTGACAAATTAATGCTATGACCCAAAGATGCTCATCATGTTTTCTGGTACACTGAAGACTCAGAACGATATTCAATTTATTTCCTTCTTGTTTGTGAGAATTTAAGTCTCAACCAGGCTTGCAAGCAAGTAAGGAGAACAGCTGCTTCCTCTTAAATATGCTGACATTCTGAAGTATAAAAAGGTGTTTCGTGACAAAACACACACACACACATGCATGTTTTTAGAAATTATTACTGGCAGTTGTTTCTTTCTTCTGGATTTTACCTCATTTAACCACCATCATCGGGGCAGCACTGCCCTCGTAGACACGGGCAGGAATGGGCCCTACACTGGGCCCCATACTTTTGGGGGCTCCACATACCACAAGCCACTGAGACAAAAGTCTATTTTTATATTTTTTGATCTTATGAAAAACACTTTTTTCGAGTTTGATAACCAACTAAGCAAATGGGAATGTTAATTAGAAAGGGAAGTGAGAACTGGACTGGCTGCCCTGAAGGCCAGACTACAGAGTCAGAGAATTCACGAATGTGTGTGAGCACACGCGTGTAGAGGTTTATGAGTGTGTGTCTATGTGTGTGCACTGTGTCTGTGCATGCACATGTAGGTTGTGTGTGTGTCTATGCAGGTATGTTTTGTGTGCACATGTGTGCCTGTGTGCATGTGTGCCTGTGTGTACATGTATGTTTCATGTGTGTATGTGCAGTTTTGTGTATGCATGTGTGTGTGTATGCAATTATGTTTTGTGTTTGCATATGAAGTTATGTGTGTCTATGTGCACATGTGGTTATGTGTGTTAAGAGGTAAAAGATCACATCCTCTCTCTGGAAACTAGAGAAAGAGGCTTGTTTTCAAAACACCAAATGACGTCAAGTTACCAAGTGTGA